AGGGCTTGAAAAATGGCTTTTTCCTGCGAAAATGGAACCAAGAGCGAGGCACTCTGTTTCTAAGCGTACATTTGCATGCAGACGGAGCTTCCAGTTTCCCCCAGGTCTCTGTCTTGGTGAAAATTGTTCCGGCAGTGGCGGAAAGGAGTTGGGGGTGGGAGCAAACACCGCGAGAGTTCAGGCTCCCATTCTCTGCAAAAGAGGATCGGTGCCTGAACTCAAGGGATATTACGGGCACCCAGGAGCTTCCATCGACTCTCCCTCAAAGGCAGAAACCGCGGCAGAGAGGAGACGGAACTTTTCAAGTTGAGTCTGACGCAGCAGGAAGAGAGAGGGAAGCATGAGGTATCTTAGTGGGTCGGGGAGGCCTTGAGGGCCTTTTCCATCACTAGGCCCTCCCCCATGGCCTTCCCCACCCTGAGATACCTCGTGCACTTAACAGGCCATGTGCGTCTTAATGAGCAAGGGAGTGATCTCATTCGAAGTACGAGATTCTACGAGTTTTTGAGTTACAAGTGGAATGGGCAGGCTCCATTCCAATCGTAACTCGAGGACTACCTGTATAAATAGCAATGGAGAGAGTGGACACCCTTGTCTTGTACCTTTTTTATATTAACATTCTCTGTAAAGTCTCCATTTACAATTACTTTGGCTGTTTGTCTAAGATATATTGTTTTAATTATATTTATAAATTTTTCTCCAAAGTCCATACAGTTTAATTGTTGTATCATAAATTGCCAATTTACATTATCAAAGGCTTTCTGTGCATCTAGGAAAATTAGTGCCATTTGTTTCCCTGGATGCATTTCATAATATTCCAGTGTATCCAAAATAATTCTTAAGTTGTTTTTTATTTGTCTCTTAGGTAAAAATCCATTTTGATCTGGATGAATAGATTCAGTCAAAAATCTTTTCAATCTCTCTGCTATTATTGAAGCAAAAATTTTATAATCCACGTTTAATTGGTCTATATTGGTCTATAGTTCTTTATCTGAGTCAGGTCTGAGTCTTCTTTTGGAATTAGAGTAATGTTGGCTTCTGTCAAGGTGTTTGGTATTTTGGCCTCTGATAATACCTCATTACAAACCTCTTTCATTGGTAATCTTAATGTGTCTTATAGACATTTATAGAACTCTGCCGGTAACCCATCTGGTCCTGGAGTCTTGTCATTTTTTTTTTATAGCCTCCGTCAATTCCAACATTGTTATTTTTTCATTTAACATGTTTTTTAAATTTTCAGGTATTTTTGGTAATTTAGCTTTTTCCATATATTGAATTATTTTTTCCTTAGGAATTTCTTCATAACATTCTTTAACTATTTTATTGTTTCATTTTGAAATTGCAAACATTCTTTCCCATCTTGTAGTTTATTTATCAATTTCTTCACCTTTTTTCAATTTGTAGGCTAACCATCTACCCGGTTTGTTAGCATTTTCAAAAAAGTTTTGTTTTGCCCTTTTAATTTGTTGGGCCATTTCTTCAGCTTCTATTAAGTTTAATTTGTGTTTTATTATCTCCATTTGCTTTTTAAAAGTTTTCTTTTGTGGGTCTGTTTGTAAGTCTAATTCCAATTTTTTAAGTTATTCCTTTAACTTTGTTTGTTGTTGGTTTTTTTCCTTATTCTTTTTTGCCATATACGTTATAGCTAAGCCTCTAAAGCAGGGGTGTCAAACTCGCAACATCACGTGACATGCCGCAACGTATTGTGATTTTTTTCCCAATTGCCAGAGCTGGGGTGGGCACGGTTTCGGTATGACGCATCTGGCCCATGGGCCGGCAGTTTGACACCCCTGCTCTAAAGTATGCTTTGGCCGTGTCCCACACATTTTGAAGTGATGTCTCTTCTTTTTTATTTTCTTTAAAGAAGAATTCCATTTCCTTTACTGCTATTTGTATAAATTCTTTCTCTTTTAATAAAGCTTGATTCAATGACCATCTGAGTTTTTTCTTTGTTCCTCTCCAGGTCATCTTTATCGGATTATGATCTGCCCATATATTGGTTTCTATCTCAGTCTCGTGTATATTCATTCTTAATTCAGAGGATAACCATATCATATCAATTCTGGACCATGATTTGTGCCTATTCGAATAAAATGTATACTGAGATTTTTTTGGATTTTTTTCTCTCCACATATCCTGTATACAGATTTCTTCTGCCATTTTAAAAAAAGCCTTAGGTAGTATATTTATTCCTGTTTTACTGCTTTTATAGTCTAGCTTTCTGTCTACAATTGCATTAAAATCTAATAAGCAAATGTTTTGATATTCTGTTTCCACTATTTTCTTATGTAGTTTTTGGTAAAATTCTTCTTGTTTGTTGTTTGGTACATATATTGCTACCATCAATATCTGTTTTTGATTTATCATTATTTCCACCATTAATATTCTTCCTTCTTCATCTGCATAGACTTGTTTAGAATCCATTGTCTCTTTAATATATAAAACTTCTCTTTTCTTTTGTTGTGCTAATGAGAAGTAGAGTTTCCCAATTTTTGAGCATTCCAAAAGTTTATAATGTTGTCTTTTTATATGTGTTTCTTGGAGGCAGACTATATCCATTTTTAATTTTTGTAATCATGTAAAAAAAATTTCCTTTTTGAGGTGGAGTTCAATCCATTTATATTTATTGAGAGGATCCCGTTTTCCTTCTCCATTTTCTTTACTTATATTTAGGTTTTATTCTCCTAGTTGTTCTTGTCTGTCTTTGTTCTCTTATCTTTGCCCCTTCTTCTTGATCTATATTTTCCATTTCTTCTTCCTCTCTTCATGCAGCTGCCTCTTCTGGTACTGCCTCTCCCTGCTTTCTACATTCCTTATCTGTTTGAAGTTCTGAACTTTGTTCTTTAAAGAAAGCTCTGTATCTCTCAATTAATTTTTTGGTCAAAAATGATATTCTTTTCGTGAATCTCTTATCCTTCTAGGAATCTGTTTCAAGACTACAATTTCCTTTTATTTATACCGCAATAGGTCATCTGCCACTTTTCTCAATATCTCGTCTCTTGTTGATTTTTTCACAAATCTAACATGTACCTCTCAGGGAAGTCTGTTTCTCCTGGCATAGCTTGAATTGACTCTAAACATTTGGTCTATCCTTCCATTTCCTGTCTCCCAATTTCCAACACTTCTGCTAGCAGCTCTATCATCAGATCTGGGAGGTCTTCTTCTTTGTCTTCCATTATATTCTGAAATCTTAAAAAATAAGATGCCTTCTCCATTTCCAGAACTGCCACTGAATCCTCCAAGTCTTTATTAGCCTGCATCAGCCTTTGGTTTTCTTCTTTTATTTGTTCCATCTTTTGCTCAGTTTCCTCTGATTTGTCTTCTATTTTCTGAATTCTTTGTTCATTCTTTGTGGTCCTTTGCTGAAAATTTTCTAATTGTGAATTTAAATTGTGAATTTGTTCATTTATTTTATCCAAATTGTCTTATGTCTCATCATGATTTTTTCTTGTGTCTTCTTTATGCGAGGTTATCGCCTCTTGTATTAATTGTAATGTGGCCTGCATTTCCTTCTGAAAATTGCTGGTTTTTTCTTGCTGAAGCATTGATTCAATTGATCTCTGGTAAACAGGGCTGGGGGCATCAGAAGATGGTGCTGAGGTGGGTTTCTTGCCTGTTTTAGTCAAGCTTGGAACACTCATTTTTTTGCTCCCCCCTCAAACTCTTCTATCAAATCTATTATGTCCCCTAATTATCAGCCTTATACAGAGCAAGCAATCTTATAATCAATATCACAATATAATATTTAAATTCCAATTTGAATTTTAAATCATCCCAAATAGTTCTTGTAGTCTTTATCTATAGCTTTTGTAATCCAATAGTCCAGCTTATAGGTCCATCACCAAAGGAAGGGGAAAAAAGTAAGGAGAAAAAAAGAAATTTGTAATCCACCTGTGTCTTTCAGCACCAAATCCAAGAGGAAAAATGCAAAGGCTCTTCTGTTCAAAAAACCCACAAATTGTCAATCAGCCAGCCTTTATAATCCAAAGTGTCCAGCTGGCCCAGTTAGTAATCCATAGGACCTCCCAAAAAAGTAGTAGCCAAAAGTCAATTTTCTTTCTGTCTCTAGGTAGTTCTTAAAGCTGTGAGTCAATCGATGTTTGTAATCCAGACAGGCCTACTTCAAGGTAGTTTATAGTTTCCACCATGCAGAAAAACAACCCAAAGAATTTTTTTCCTTTTTCCAGCTGCAGTCTACAAAAGGGAAAGTTTCCAGGAAGATCAGAGTCTAATTTGTTATCTATGTCTGGGCTTCATGCCAAGTTCACTCCAGACATAAAAAGATTCAGTGCTTTATTCCTTTATTCCACCTCTAGCCACTAGATGTTGTTAGATGTCTGTTTTGTGTCTTGATTAGGCACAAGGCCCAATTCAAAGTTAAATCAGTATTCAGGCAGAAGATTTCTACTGCAAGTGTCATGGCTACCAGAATTCACTTTTGCGCTGAACAGAACATAGGGAATAGACTTATGTTCAGTTGTAAAACACCCAGGTTTGAACAAAGATAAACTAAAAAAAGAAAATTTTGGATTAGTCTTAGTTGCCTGAGCAAAGTTCCTATTACCTGTAGTAACCAAATGAATGTTAATTTGCAAGTCTGGCTTTGAAGGATTTAACTTCATTAGATTCCTTTTGATAACTGTTGGTAGCATCATTTTTTAAAAAATGATGTTCCATTCCTTATAATACTTACGTAAACCTCTGGTAGTTTCTTGCAATATAATAGCTGATGTTGTTTTATAATTGTGTAACAAGGAGATTAGTAAGAAAAATGAGATTCCCAACCAATATTATGGCTTTTACAGTACTTATTTTGTGAGGTGGTTGTGTACAAGGTTTGTGTCCCTTTCAGCACTTGGCTCTTACACAATTTTTCCTGTGTAGAGATGTTTAGTATTTGCTGTAAAAATCTGTTGGTTATATTTAGCTGATCTTTTGGCAGTTGTCACATTTGATGTTTCACAGTAGCTGATAACTGTCTCTATCTCCTGTCTTCGTAGAACGCCTTGCAGCAGGCTGTGGGCAGTGGCCTAGCAGGGAAACTGAAATATCCAACTAGTGAGAAAGGTATGAGAAACCAGGATTGAAGGGTGGTATCTGCATCAGAGCTGTCTACCTACAATATCCTTAGACTATAAAAGGCCATAGAGGTAGAGCTGTCTCATCCATAAACTGTCAGTTCCTAGATTAGAGGGACGTACATATCTTGTTTGCCGCCCAGAATCACTTATTTATGAGATGGACAGCTATATAAATTTAATAAGTCTTTAAAATTAGAAAACCTTAATTACTACATTACCCTAGATATTCAGAATTTTTTTAAATTGTTTTGGTTTGTACCCACATTTCTCAGTTTTTCCAGAATGTTTTCATCATACCTCCCAAATGCACAATCAAAATAGTAGAACATACAGTATGTTTATAATCATATTTTACACTATGATTATAAAAGCCCAGTCCAGCTTAATACCACTGAAAAAGAAAAGAAATCCAAGAAGAAACCAGCATGATTACACAAAGAACTATCTGATAAACTGAAAGACAAACAGGATAAGTACAAAAAATGAAAAGGACACATAACTAAGGCAGAATACCAACAAATAGCATGAACTTGCAAAGATGAAGTCAGGATAGCTAAGGCACAGAATGAAGTAAAACTTGCAACAAATGTCAAAAATAATAAAGTATCTTTCAACATGTAAAAAACAAGAAAAAAGCCAAGGAAACAATCGGTCCACTAATGAGAGAAGATGGCAAGGAAGTAATGGGCACTAGAGAGAAAGCAGAGCTACTTAATTCATCCTTTGCATCTGTCTTCACGCAAAAAGATAATACAGCCCAACCTACCAAAAACATAACCATAAAAGACAGACTAGGAATACAAATTAAAATAGGCAAGAAAATGGTAAGAGAACACCTGTCCGGTCTAGACAAGTTCAAATTACCTGGACCTGACTGATTACATCCCAGAGTTCTGAAGGAGCTGACAGATGTCATCTTGGAACCATTGAACCATATCTTTCAAAGATCCTGGAGCACTGGGAAACTACCAGAGGACTGAAAAAGAGCTGATGTGGTTCCCATCTTCAAAAAAGGAAAAAAAAACAGATCCAGGAAACTACAGACTAATCAGCCTGACATTAATACCTGGGAAGATCCTGGAAAAGATAAGCAACAGATCTGCAAACATCTAGAACAAGGCTTTTCAACCAGTGGTACGGGTACCACCTGTGGTACATTGGCACCTGGCAGGTGGTACGCGACTATCCTAGAAAAGTGATAGTGGGGGAGGGGAATGAGCTGAACCGATGGTAGCACCGCACAAGCCTGAGCCAGAGATGGCTGGAGCTGCAGGGCTGTCAAGGCTCAGCGGAAGCGCCAGGATCAGCGCCAGGCTCCAGCTGGAGCTCGGTGCTGATCCTGGCACTTCTGCTGAGCCCAGAAGAAGCGCCAATCAGCTAGAATGTTGCAGCATCTCCAGGGTCTTGTGATTTACATTCAGATGCTTGGCAACTGATTCATATTTATGACGGTCACAGTGTCCCAGGGTCATGTGAAGTGACCAAAACCTGCTGCAACCACCCAGCAGACGGGGGGAATAAAAACCGAATACCCCCACAACCCATCCCCGCTGCCAATCCTCAACAGAAATGCTCACAAGAATGAAAACCTCGGACAGGAGGAAGAGCGCCGCCGGGTGGGTAGGCAGGTGTCTTGCTCGGCTGTGGCTTGGGCACTTTTTTCAGTGCCATTGTAACTTTGAACAGTCACTAAGCAAACTGTTGTAAGTCGAGGACTACCTGTACTTCATCACTTTTTTACTTTTGGGGGGGGGTCATCAGGTTTTTGACACCTTGCTAGGCGACTGGTGGTACTCGGATGTTGCCATATCCTAAAAGTGGTACAATGGGTGAAAAGGTTGAAAAGCCCTGATCTAGAAGCAAGCAAAGTTATAACCAGAAGCCAACACGGGTTTGTCAAAAACAGATCATGCCAAACAAATCTTATTTCATTCTTTGACAAGGTGAGTAAATTAGTGGACCAGCAAAATGCTGTGGACATAGTATACTTGGATTTCAGTAAGGCATTTGACAAAGTAGACCACAACCTACTTCTTGGTAAGCTAAAAAAGTGTGGGATAGACAGCATCACCACCAGATGGATTTGTAACTGGCTGACAAATCTCACTCAATGGAACTACATCTACATGGAAGGAAGGAAGCAGTGGGGTACCCCAAGGTAATGTTTTAGGCCCAGTAGTCTTCAACATCTTCATAAACAGTTTAGATGAGGTAATAGAAGGGGAACTCATCAAATTTGTAGACGACACTAAACTGGCAAGAATAGCCAACAGCCCAGAAGATAGGCTCAAGATCCAGATGGATCTTGACAGACTTGAACACTGGGCACTATCTAACAAAATGAAATTCAATGTAGAGAAAAGTACACTTACGCAAGAAAAACCAAATGTACAGGTACACATTAGGTGAAACCTGGCTCAACAGCAGTAACTGAGAGGGATCTTGAAGTCCTAGTGGACGATCACTTAAAACATGCATCAGCAGTGCATGGCAGCAGCCAAAAAAGCCAATGCAATCCTAGGATGCATTAATGGGGATAGAATCAAGATCACGTGAAGTATTAGTACCACTTTATAAAGCCTTAGTAAGACCACACTTAGAATACTGCATCCAGTTTTGGTCATCATATTATAAAAAAGATGTAGAGTCTCTGGAAAGAGTGCGGAAAAGAGCAACAAAGTTGATTAGGGGCCTGGAGGCTAAAACATGAACGGTTGCAGGAATTGGGTTTGTATAGTATAGTGAAACGAAGGACTAGGGGTGACATGATAGCAGTGTTCCAATATTTGAGGGGCTGCCACAAAGAGGGGGGTCAACCTATTTTCCAAAGCACCAGAAGGCAAGAAAAACGATGGAAACTAATCGAGAGAAGCAACCTAGAACTAACAAGAAATTTCCTAGCAGTGAGAACAATTAACAAGTGGAATGGCGTGCCTTCAGAAGTTGTGGGTGCTCCATCACTGTAGGCTTTTAAAAAGAGACTGGACAGTCACTTGTCTGGAATGATATAGGGTCTCCTGCTTGAGCAGGGGTTGGACTGGAAAACCTCCAAGGTCCCTTCCAACTCTGTTATTCTGTTAAGGCTTTGAAAAAAAACATGCCAGGCTGATTGAGATGGACTCCAGTCAGCAGCTCTGTAATCATTTTTATAACACTTTCACTGCATTCTCAAAGCATTCCCCATGTGCCACTTTACAATGTTTACATAAAACACTACCTTTTTCTATATTGCAGATGGCAAAATGCAAGTTTGTGACTGCATAGATTTGGGGTTTCTGAAAATATTGGGCCATAGCTGTTATGGTGACTTAAAGGTCACTGAAAAATTAGGTATAACTAATTTGTTGTTAAGCAATCTTGGTATACAAGTAGTCCTCTACTTACGACCACAATTCAGCCCAAAATGTATGTTGCTAAGCGGGACAGTTAAGTGAGTTTGCCCCCATTTTATGACCTTTCTTGTGACGGTTGTTAAGTGAATCACTGCAGGTGTTAAGTTAGTAACACAGTTAAGTGAATCGGGCTTCCCCATTGACTTTGCTTGTCAGAATGTCTCAGTAGGGTATCACATGACCCCAGGACACTGCAACCATCATAAATATGAGTCAGTTGCCAAGCATCTGAATTTGTGACCATTGGGCTGCTGCAATGGTCATGTGAAAAATGGTCATAAGTCACTTTTTTCAGTGCCATTGTAACTTCGAACGGTCACTAAATGAACTGTTGTAAGTTGAGGACTACCTGTACATATTCTTTAAAAAAATTAAACTAAAAGGAAGACGCTTGTGAACATCTGAAGCCAGCTGATTTATAAACTATGCAACACCAGACTTCCATTGATATTCTTCATATGCAGGCATTATTTGGAATTGTACAGTATATTATTTTAAGTCTATAGTAGGTTATAAAACATAAATACCTGTTTGTTGTTTTCAGATACAGAATGCAAGTACATAAGTCAAAGTAAATGGTGTTGGAATTCTAGAACTGAAAGTTTTGGAGGAAGTTGCCTGGGAACTGAGGACTCTGCCCAGGCCTACAATAGAAATGGCCCAGTGGGTGAGGTATGTTGAGATCTCTCATGATTGTTCCTATTCTGATGTAGAAAATATTGGTGAGCAAACATGCCTAACTGAAGATCTTTACAAGTGCCAATCATTGTACTAAACTACAGGTAGTCCTCGACTTATGACCATTCATTTCATGACCGTTCAAAGTTTCAATGGCACTGAAAAAAGTGGCTTACGACTAGTCCTCACACTTATGACCATTGCAGCATCCCTGCGGTCATGTGATCAGAATTTGATCACTTGAAAACTAACATGCATTTATGATGGTTGCAGTGTCCCGGGGTCACATGATTGTCATTTGCAAACTTCCTAGGATGGGGGCTTCTGACAAGTAAAGCCAAGATGGTCCCTGAATAAATCTATATTGAAAGAAAAATAATTTCTACAATTAGCGACAAAGGAAATGGATTTTTTTAAAAAAATAAATAAGGAAGAAACATCGCTTCAAAATGTATGGGACACGGCTAAAGCATATTTTAGAGGGGTGGCTATAACTTACATTGCTAAAAAGAATAAAGAAAAGAAACAACTACAGTTAAAGCTGAGAGAAGAACTCAGAAAGATGGAATCAGAACTACAAATAGATCCACAAAAGAAAATACTTAAGAAACAAATGGAGATAATAAAACATAAATTAAATCTGGCCAAGATGGAACTAATGGCTCAACAGATTAAACGGGCTAAACAGAATTTCTTCAAAAATGCCAATAAGCCGGGGAGATGGCTAGCATATAGACTGAAAAAAGAAAAAGAAAAAAAATGATAAACTACAAGATTTAAAAGGAGAACTACAGTTCCAAAATGATGCAATGAAAAAAATTATTAAAGACTATTATGAGTTACTTTACAAGGTAGAGGAAATCACCAAAGAAAAAATACAGCAGTACTTAAAAAAAGCAGACTTACCAAAAATTCCGGAGAATATTCGAAATATATTAAATGGAAAAATATCAGTGATGGAGACTATAGAAGCCATAAAAAGGCAAAAAAAGGATAAGACGCCGGGCCCAGATGGACTGCCTGCAGAATTTTATACATCACTACAGGATGTACTAAGTCCGATTTTGAAAGAACTGTGCAATGAAATTCTATTCGAGGCTAAAATACCAAAGACGTGGACAGAAGCTAATATTACTCTAATACCTAAAGAAGATACTGATCTGACACAAATAAAAAATTATAGACCAATATCATTATTATTATTTAATTTTTATTTTTCCTTTTTCTCTTTACAAACAACAAAATACAAAGTACATTTTTTCTTTTTTCTTAACAGTACTATGTCCTATATCTCTTGCATTTATTTACATTTATTTACATTACTTCTCATACTTTTTTATTCCTCAATTCTAACCATTTATAATACATGTCCCATATCTCATAAAATTCTGTAACTTCTTTGTCCTTTATTTCTAAGGTAAATTTGTTCATCTCAGCACAATCTAATATCTTGCGTATAATCATTGCATTTGTTGGTATGTTTTCCCTTTTCCAGCATTGCGCATATGCAATGCGTGCTGCAGTTATTATATGTATAATGATGTATTGATTTTTTTTCCCCATTTTTGGATTGATTATACCTAATAGAAATATTTTGGGTTTAAGTTCAATTTGTTGTTTTGTTATTTCCTGTATCCATCTCCTTATCTGCTCCCAATAGGTCTTTGCTTTGGGGCATTGCCACCACATATGGTAAAATGTTCCCTCTTTATTTTTGCATTTCCAACAATCCGGATTCATATTTTTGTAAATCTTGGCCAATCTCGCCAGTGCTAAATGCCATCTGTAGAACATTTTATATTGGTTTTCTTTGTATGCAGTTGACATCGTTAATTTGTAATTTCTGTTCCATATTCTTTCCCATTCATCTAATTCTATATTTCTGCCTATATTTCGTGCCCATGCTATCATTGGACCCTTTACTATTTCTTCTGCCAGTTCAACTTCTAATAAGAGTTTATAGGTTTTTGTTAGAAATTTTCCTCCCTTGTTTGTCAGTATTTTGTCCAATTGCTGTGGTATCCGACTTATTCCATACTCTTCCATGTCTTTGCTATATTTTGATTGTATCTGTATATATGGCCACCAATTAGTAGTTATTCCCTGTTCTTTTAATTCATCTCTTGATCTTAGCTTCCCTTGGTTATCTAATAATTCTTTGTACCTTATCATCTTTGTTTTATCCAGCGTGTTTGGGTGAATCATTGCCTCCATTGGTGAGATCCAAATTGGAATTTTCGTATAATATTTTTTTTTTACTTTTTCCCATGTCCAAATTAATGCATCCCTTATCTGATGCCGGTAAAAGTATGTGTGGGATTTCTGATCTTTTCCCCATAAAAACGCATGCCATCCAGCCTGTAAATCATGACCTTCAATTGTTAGAACCCTTTTGTTTTCTAAGTTTATCCAATCACTGATCCAAAGCAACCCCGCTGCTTGGTAATAGATTTCCCATTTTGGGAGCCCAAGGCCACCTCTACTTCTACTGTCCTGTAATTTATTTATTCGTGCTTTTTTACCTAACCATATAAATTTATTAATCATTTTGTTTAATTCGTCAAAGTTTTTCCCCAATTTTATTGGAGTTGTCTGAAATAGATATAATAATTTTGGTAGAATATTCATTTTAATCACCGAAATCCTTCCTAACAATGTTAGTTGTAATTTCCCCCAAATCTCTAATTCTTTTTGTATTTGTTGTATCAATTTTTTTATAATTATCTTCTTTTATTGAAGAACATCTTATGGTGAGCCAAATTCCTAAATATTTAATCTTTTTTACAATTTGCAACTCCAAATTTTCTTCTAATCCCTTTTTTTGTTTTTCAGTTAAATTTTTTACTAATATTTTAGTCTTTTCTTTGTTTATTTTTAGTCCCGCCACCATTCCATATTTTTCTATTTCATTCATTAGAACATTACCTCTTTCTAATGGTTCCTCTATAAAAAACACCAAATCGTCTGCAAATGCCTGTGTCTTGTATTCTTCTGTTTTAACCTTTAGTCCTTTTATCTCTTTGTTGTTTCTAATTCGAGTTAATAGCACTTCTAACGTTAGAATAAAAAGTAGAGGTGACATTGGACATCCCTGTCTTACTCCTTTATTAATTTCTACCTTCTCTGTATTCTCCCCATTTATTATTACTCTAGCCTTTTGTATTTTGTATATTGACTTTATCATTTGTTCAAACTTCTCTCCAAATTTCGTATCTTCTATCTGTTGGAACATAAACTGCCAATTAAGGTTATCAAATGCCTTCTGAGCATCTAAAAATACTAATGCAACCTGTTTTTCGGGGTGTGCTTCATAATATTCCAGGACATTTAACACCGTTCTCGTGTTGTTCCTAATTTGTCTGGTAGGTAAAAAACCATTTTGATCCGAATGTATTATTTGATTTAATATTATTTTTAGTCGTTCCGCCACTATTGTAGTAAAAATGTTATAATCCGAATTCAACAACGAGATTGGTCTATAATTTTTTATTTGTTTAGGATCCGTATCTTCTTTTGGAATAAGAGTTATGTTGGCTTCTGTCCAGGAGTCTGGTAATTTGGCTTTCTCCAATACATCATTATATATTTCTAATAATATCATTTCCAGGTCTTCATAAAGAGTCTTATATACTTCCCCTGGTAGACCATCTGGCCCCGGGGCTTTATTATTTTTTTGTTTTTGTACTGCCATTTTTAGTTCCATTGCTGTTATTTTTTTATTCAATAATTCTCTTTGTCCTTTTTTTAATTCCGGGAGACCATTAGCTTTTAGATATTGTTTTATATTCTCCTCCTCTGTTTCCTCTTTTTTATATAGCAACTCAAAAGTATTTCTGAATTATTTTTTTCTTTTCGTCTATTTTATATTGCAACTCTCCATTTTTGTCCTGTAGTTCCTGAATAAATCTTTTTTTCCTTCTCTTTTTTTAATTTGTAAGCAAGCCACCTCCCAGGTTTATTTGCATGTTCGAAAAAATTTTGTTTAGTTACTTTCAGTTCTCTTGCCAATTCCTCTTGTTCTACTATATTTAATTTATGTTTGGCCAAAGTCATTTCCTCTTTAATCATTTCATCTTGTGGCTCCCGTTGTAATTTGGATTCTAATTTTTTTAATCTCTTCCAGAAGTATATTTTGTGTCTGCCTTTTCACCTTATTTTTCCTAGCTGTATATGCTATTGCTATACCTGTCAGATATGCTTTGGCAGTATCCCATATAATTTGTAATGATGTTGTTTTGTATTCTCTTTAAAAAATAATTCCATTTCTTTTTTAATCTTTACAGTGAAATCTCTTTCCTTTAAAATTTGGGTATTAAGTGTCCACCTTCTCTTTGCTTTTTTCTGACCTGTCCACACTATTTTCAAAGGATTATGGTCTGCCCATATATTTGGCATTATTTCTATTGTCTCCACTTCTTGTCCTATTTCCCCGTTCATCCATGCCATATCCAACCTAGACCACAATTTGTGTGGATTTGAAAAAAAGGTATATTCCTTTTTTATGGGATTCTGTTTCCTCCATTGGTCAAATAGATTAAATTCATGTGCCATCTCAAAAAATGTTTTTGGTAGTGTTTTCCGCTTCTTTTTATTTTTCATATTGCTAATATAATCCATTTTTACATCCACTATCGCATTATAATTTCCTATTATACAGATGTTTCCTTGTCCAATTTCTATAAGTTTTTCGTGTAGATCTTTATAAAATTCTTTTTGATTTTCATTTGGAGCATAAATTGTCACCAATAACCATGATTTCTGTTCCATTTGTAGTTCTATTATTAGTACCCTTCCCTCTGTATCTTGATATTTTAAATTGGCTCTAATTCCTTTTCTAATATAAACTGCTATTCCTCTCTGTTTTTGTTCCATTAGTGATGTATATAATTCTCCTAATTTTGGAAATTCCAGATATTTTCTGTGTTGCTTTTTTATGTGTACTTCTTGTAGACATACTATGTCTACACCTTGTTTGACTAATTTAGTTAATATTTGTTTTCTTTTAGCTGGTGCATTTAGGCCATTGACGTTAATTGATACTAATCTAATCTTCTCATCCATTATTTTACTTCTGAGTTTGTCTTGCTCTCAAACCTGTTCCTCTTTCTTTCCTTTGTCTTTTTACCTCCTTACTTTCTATCTCCTTCTCTCTTTTAACTCTAGTTGCTGATCTTCCTGACTTTTAGAATCTAATTCTAATTCTTCCCTACTACTATTCTCTTCTTCTTCCCCTTCTAGTTGTTCATAACATTCTCTTGCCTTGTCCAGGCTATCAGTTTTAATCCTTCTCTCCTGCCATGTTATCAGCATCCCCTCGGGGATTAACCATCTAAATGGAATGTTTTTTTTAATAAGATGTGCACTGAGAAATCTGTAGTCTCTTCTCTGTTCCCTCACTTTCTTTGGAATTTGTTTTAATGTTTGAATTTCTATGCCTTTGTAAATTATTGGATCTTCCCTTGTAATCCTGTATATTAGGTCTCTAATTTTTTTTCTGGCGAATCTTATATGTATCTCACGTGGTAGTTTATTCCTTCGAGCATAATTTGTGTGGATTCGGTACACCTCATCTATTTCTGGCAATATTTCTTGTTTATCTCTTTGTAGAGCCTCTGCTATCAACTCTACCATAATGGTGCCCAAATCCTCTTCCTTATCCTCCACCACGTTTTGAAATCTTAAGTAAAACGCCGCCCTGTCCATTTCCAGATGTATAATCAATTCTTCCCATTTTTTGTTAGTTCCCATCAATTTTTTATCTACTGTGTCGACTTTTTTCCCTATTTTATCCAATCCTACTTCTACTGTCAATATTCTTGCTTCATTTTCTCAATTGTTTGTTGTATTGTTTCAATCTTATTATCTAATTTATTCATATCCCCTCTCATTTCAATATGGTTTTTTGACATTGTCTCCTGCATCTTTAACATTGTTTCTTGAATAGTTAATAATGTTGTTTGCATGCTTTGCATATTTGATAATACATTTTGCTTCTCTGTCCCCAACATTCCCTCTATTGTTCTCTGTCTAGGAGGAGATGAAGGTGTCAGTGCTAAACTTGACATTGTTTTTTTCCCTGTTCTCAGTGTTGTCATCTTAATTTCTTATTTATCAACTGCTTTCTATTCTTAGTATCTAGGAATATGATATGATTTAGCCAGCAACCTTTCTAACTTTACACTTTTATTCTAAACTTACAATTCTTCTTTCTCTCCTTTCCTAGATCTCGATCTACTTTCACTGTGCTCCTAGACCTCTCTTCTCCTTCCCTAACCTTCTTCACTTTCTTTTCTCTTTCTTACTTAACACCCAATCTCTCTAGGAATCCAAATTTTCTCTCCTAACCTATATCATCAACCGTTTGTCCATATATCCATTGTCTATCACTGCCGAATCACGTCCTCTCACCGTCTCCTTCACTTTCCAAACTTTCCGCACTTCCTAGTTTACCACCTCCGTTCTCTTCCAGCCTCACTTTCTCCAATCTTCTATAACGTGCTATACAGTCTCTCTAGGATTTCAAGTTTCTATCCCTTCCTGTGGCTTTCGCCTCCGTATTACGTCCTCTCACCAATTCCTTCACTTTCCAAACCTTCCGCACGTCAGAAACTATCTCCTCTCCGAATTTGACACGCCATCTCTCTATCGACCGTCTGTCCATCTATCTGTTCTTGTCACTTTCACCACCGTGGCACGTCCTCTCGCCGTCTCTTTCCTCCTTTCTCCTCCGATCTGGCTTTCTCTGATCTCCTACGACTCGCTACTCTTCCATCCTTCTCAGATCGCCATTTTCTCGCCGTTCCGGCTGTCAGCCTGCCAAACATCTTCTTTCGTTTCTCTCTTCCTAGTCGCTTCGCCGTCTCCTCCGTCTCTGTCTTTCGTTTCCCAACCTCTCCTTCCACAATCTTTCACCTTCTTCGTTCTGTGCTATAACGTTTACCCTTTCTTTCTTTTGTCTCACTCCTGTTAATCCTCTGGCTATATTAATTGCTGACTCACAGCTCTTCCCGCCGGGTCGCCGCTTGCGCTGAGGATTCCCTCTCCAACTGAGCTTCCTTACAACACCAGAGCTAACAGACAAGTAAATCTTTTAGACTTTTCTATTATTTTGGAATATTTTCATAATTTTTTTAACTCACTCAATGACATAGTCTATTAAGTATATCTTGCTTCCGCATTCTTTATGGTTAGTCGAGGCCTCGGATCCGCCATCTATTGATAGCCGAAGTTTTCAAGTTGGATTTAAGGGTTTTCCTCCATCGTAGTGGGTGATTGCCTCTCACCTCACTACTCCCCAAGGCTTCACCCTTTTTGCACGTAGCCCTCCAGACTCTCAGTGCCCCCAAAGGGTCTCCAAACTTGAAAAAATCAGAGTTGGAGGACGGAGACTGTCCTCTTTCCCCTGCACCACCTCCACGTCACCACCGGAAGTCAGACCAATATCATTATTGAATGTAGACTATAAAATTTTTGCCTCAATAATGGCAGAAAGAATTTAAAAATTTCTGATCGAATTTATACACACAGACCAAAATGGCTTTTTGCCTAAAAGACAGATAAAAAATAACTTGAGAATGATTCTTGATATGCTAGAGCAGTGGTGGCGAACCTATGGCACGGGTGCCAGAGGCGGCACTCAGAGCCCTCTCTGGGGGCATGCGCGCCGTCACCCCAGTCCTAGGCCTTCAGCTGGGTTTTATAAAACCTTTTTGCTCTAGGCCTCCTCCGCCGTGTGCAAAAAAAAAAAGGT